GCAACTTGACCTCGAGGGCAAACAGTTAGCTTTTCTAAGTTCAGTCCCGCGAGCCTCGTGTTTGCCCAAATATTAGACCTTGCAGTTACGTAAAAGGGGCTTAGTGTTTTAGTTTTTCGACGAAACGGAGCTCAACAAGCGGCAATTAATCTTTAATCATCAAAAAAAAAAAAAAAAAAAAAAACAGAAAAACAAAAATAGGAAAGAAAACAAACGAAAAAATCTTGATGCTCCCTCAGAGATGAAGTTTCAAACGAACTGCCAGTGGTAGAAGCAATTGCACGATGTGCATTAAACGAGTGTAATAACGTTTGACTGAGTTGGAATTGAATTTGGGTAGACAGATTGACAGGTTTTTAATTCGCTTCCAATTTTCGGATTCACTGCTCCTACCTCTTCTTTTTAATATATATTCTCTCTTTTTATGGATCTCGTGGATCTCCGCGAGATGAAAATTAATTTTTTGTTAAAAGCGTACTCTATCGATAATAAGGTCACCTACATCGAACGGATATGCAAAATTGTCGAGCGAAAGCTTGATTTCGACGCACGCGCGACACGTGCACGACGTTATTTCGTCTAGCTTTTTTCCAAGCCGCTGAATAAATCGTCAAATTGGCTCGGAATTCGCGGAATTTTTCATTGCAAATGTCAAAAAATAAAAGGTAAAACGCAGAGCGGCAAACATGTACACGTGAATATTACATTTTTTTTTAGATAACCTAAAAGAATAAGGCATTGAAGTTATTACAGTCGTGAGTTTTTCGAATTGAGTATTCAGAAAGTAGGAGGCAACGTTAGCCGAGTATAATTCACCGCAATAATAATGTGTCAGCCGCAAAGGCGGAGAAAAAAAAAGGAAAATAAAAAAAAACTAATAATCCCCAAGTGGAAAGAGACACATACACACGCATACTGCGCGTGTAATATCGTGAAAGAGAGAAATATCGGAACAGTTTATCGGGGATCGATAAGGCTCTATCGAATGAAACGCAAGCGCGGGCCGGATTTAACGCAACCGGCGCACACACACACACGTGTTGCGTCTCTACACACAGAAAGAGTGCGGGTGAGATATGGGTCAGCCCATAAAACGCAGCGGCAGCGGCGGAAAATCCGTTATGAAAGTTTAGCTCGCGCGCGCCTCCTCGTTTTTTTCTATTATTGCGACGGGCCCTTGTGCCCTGTGCGATATGATAATTAATTAAGGCGCGCTATCTGGAGCGTCGCCGCCTCGGCGCGGCAGCATCGATACAGGAAATTAACTGCCGCGAGAGGAGGAGGCAATTAACGGAGCGAGCGCGCAGGCCGCACCGCGAGCCACGATATCAAATCTTAATTGCGGGTCTGCGGGGCGAGGACCGCTTCTTTCTTCGTGTTTTCGCGGCGTGCAAGCGGGGCGTCCCCGGAGAAAGCTGCCGGAGGCGCCCGCGATTCGATCGTCATTCCGCTCTCCCGTCGCCCCGCCGGCAAATTATGAATCGCGTAAGCGCGACTCGCCAAGTTTCCGCGGGACCGCTCGGATTCGAATCGTCGGCGCGCTCGAGCGATTGGAATTGTTGGCCGGCGTAATTTGCGCTTTAATGGAGCGCGCCTGCTAATGCCAATCAGTCGGCAGCGTTCGCTCGCTCGCGACTCTCCCCCGAGGCAATTAAGGCGTTTCGCTCGGTGAGATCTTTCGGGACGAGTCGCTCTCGCGCGGAACGTCGACGACTCGCGCGCGAGCATAAACGCGCACGACGCGTCTTTTATTCCAGCGGCAAATTGCTTCGGGCGTGCAATTTCGGTGACTTGTCAGTCGCACGCACCATAGAATTAAGCTGTTCTCTGTGAATAAATTGATCTACTGCCGCAAATAGAGAACAAAAGAGACAGAGAGGGAGAGAGACAGGGAAAGGAAAATGTTGCTAACAATCACAAAGTACAAAAGGTCTGACGTGGCGCGTTACCGGATCATTCGTTAACGGAAACAATCCGGGCGGAGGGCTTTTTTTCATTTTGCCGAGCCTCTCTCCCTCGCCCGGACAATGAGAGGAATTCGCGTAGGTACGTACGTATGTACCCTAAATCACCGGAGCAGGGCCTTTGTCGCGAAAATCCGAATTCCGCGAGGCCGCGCGAGCTCTTTTTCTCTCGCTCTCTCGCTCTCTTGGAAACTTTTCGCGAGCTTTGATTTATCGCCGCGATGCTTGCGTGCTTTTCTCGCGAGATGCATTCCCAACGCCCGAAAGGGAAAAACCAAGGAATTAGCTTGCGCGGCCATCGATTTGTGGAAAAAGTTACTGCGTAATTACGTTTGTTTGGAAAGCCGCAGTAGGCCAATGTCGCGGAATCGCCATATGGCATGGAAAGTTAATTAATGTTTCACTTTTTTCTCGCTTGCTCTCTCTCTCTCTCTCTCTCTCTCTCTCTCTCTCTGTCCCTCTCGTTATAGTTCTGCAGAACTATAAACACGCGAATGTAGTTTGACCTACAAATATTTGTTGAAAAGCAAAACAAATAAGCGGAAAGTTCGCAGCGAAGGATAATCGTTATGGAAATGTAAAGATTTTTCATATCTGAATAAAAAAAGATAGATTAGCCGCATACGAAATTCATCGAAACGAAAGGAAATTCCGTACGCCAAAAAGTCTATATAGCAGCGAGCGAGGGGAAAAAACTGTTACCTTCGAAAATTATACGAATCTCGGGCTATTGGAAAAATCTTTCTCCCTCTCAATTCGAGTCGAAGCCATTGGCTCGAAAAAGAGAGAGGAAAAGACATTTCATTACGTTTCAATGGATTCCCGCTGGCCTCGAATAAAAAAATCACTCTTTCACGTACGTACAAGCAGGGCCTATTTGAACTGCACTCCGACTCCAGCTCATTTATGATGTTGTTTCAGAGGGTAAAATAATAGTTTTGAATGTCACTACTCCTTCGCGCCTGCAAAGTTTGAATAATGAAACGATGTAAAAGCCAGCAGCTCTTACTTTCCTCTATATCCAGCGAAGAATTGAAATTCACAGTTAAACCACAATTCAGTAAAAAAAATGACCTATGCAGCTGCGGTTTTTGACAGATCGCGAACTATCTATTTGCTCTTTGAGCAATTTTTAAGCCTCTTTCCTCTGCCAGTGCCACACGCGTGCATTAAAAATCACGCCAATTATATATGCCAGTTGGAATTTTCCACGTGACCTCAGTCTCTCTTTGACGACGATTTATCAAATGAATACAATATTCATCCCGACAAAACAGAAGACACACTTTCGGTTTTATACCCCTCATTGATTTCAAAGTATGATTTTTTTCTCTTTCTCCCTATACGCATAATGCGCCAAGAGCAAAGCGGGGATCAAACGGATTCATGCCGAAATAAAATAAAATTTCTCGTCCGTTTGACGTCCGATTCGTTCGCGGAACGTGTATCCTTCGTTTTATTCGCCCTTATACCCGGCAGCTCGCCCCGAGACTCGACGTCTGTTTTAATTTTCCTGCCGAGAAACGAAAAAAAAAGAGAGACGAAGCTCGATCGAGGCCATCGTTAAACTTCGCTCCCTCGTTGGCGGACGATAAAGCGCAAAAATGATAATTTCCAGGAAGAATCTAGCGCGAAAGTGCATTCGGCGAGGACGGCTGCTCGCTTGAGATTGAAATCCAATTGCGACGACAGCCGCACGCCGAAGACGCGCGCGCGCGGACCAATCACGCGACAACTGGAGCGGATAGTCGCAGCGGGCAAAGTCAATCGTCGACAATGCGAGCGTCTGGAACCGTGGGCCATTAAACTGATGGAAAGAGGGAGAGAAAGAGAGAGAGAGAGAGAGAGAGAGAGAGAGAAGGAAAGGCAACTTGTCACCGCGCGTGCATAATATCGGAATTTTCTTTCCAGCCGATACGCGTGTGTGCGCGCGCGCGGGCGAGGTCAAGCAGCGGCAGCGTTGGCAATCGATACAGACGCGTCTATACATACACACCTGCTGCATCGACCAAGGCTACTTTTGCTTAGCGTAGCCCTTGCAAATCCATTCATTCCTCTCTCTGTCTCTCTCTCTCTGTACATTTTTTTCCAACCCCGCGATAACCGCGACGCATGGCATTGAGCCTCGATCATATTAAGGCGAGCGTGCCGGCATCGATCATTTGCCGTGGTTGAAACGGCTGCTAATCGAGCTGTGCGCATTTTTCAATCCGCGACGATTTTTTTCTAAAAAAAAGAGAAGAATACATTTCGAGGCAGTCCAGCGCCGAAGTAGGCGCGGCATCGAGAGTCAATCTGTGCCAATCGATAGCCGAACGCGGAAAAAAAAAGAGAAGAGCGAGTCAAGTTGCTCTAGTAATTCGAACGTTTAGAGGATGAAATTACTAGCGGGCCCGACACAATGGACTACAGGGTGATACCACTCGACTCGATTGTTTTCCCGAAAATTTCAGAACGTATTATCGGGCGTATGCGCGATCGCTGATTCGCGCGCAAAAGCTCGCTCTCGATGTAGAGCGAATTCACGGAGCACGACGGTAAATCTTAAGTAATGCGACTACCACTCGACTCGCGCCAGCGTTTTGTTACCTTAGTTCGGATCTGAATTATTACGGTATTTTACGAGAGGGGTGGGGAGAGGGGCTTTCTCGGTCAAATGCCGCGACTGAAACGAGGGAAAAGAAAATTGCAGGATTCGAGAGGTCGTAGGTGACGCGGAAGCTGCAAAGAAATCTCGCGTGAGAACTTTAAAAATTACTGTCGTCGTGGCCTCCCCCTCCCTCCCCCAATAACACCATCCCCAGCGAGTAAGCCGTGGACTTATTTTTCCTTCTTCAAATTTGCCCTTTCTTTTATCTCGATACCCGGGGGAGCTTATTGATATACGTCAAACTCTCGGCTCTTGCTTCCCGTCGAAGCGAGAGCTTTATACATTTGACAGCTCGTCAAACGGCACACGCGACAAATTCCTCTACCTCCTGGAAATCGCTGGAGGTAAAATAACAGAGATCGACAGTCGCGAGAGTCTAGACGTACCTGCGTGTCGTTCCACCACATGTGCAGTCGGTAATTCCTGAGTATGCTGAGGTTCTCGTTGATGTGGTCGATGGCGAGCTTGACGGACGGCATGACGCCACGGCCGACGCTGCTCTCGGGCACATGATGAGCGTACGGGAAGAGGCCCGCGATGTAGACGTCGTGGCGTTTGGCGCCGCCGGTGATCAGGGGCTTCTGGCACCAGATGCACGACAACAACATGGCTGCCACGCTGAGCCTCAACAAAATGACCGCTGCCGACAGTGCCATCGTCCTCCCTGCTTCGCTCGTCTAAACCTCGTGTCCCTCTCTCTCTCTCTCTCTCTCTCTCTCTCTCCCTCTCTCACTCACCTGCTCGAGCGTTCTCGTCGCCTCATCGTTCTCTCGCACTCGCGCACTATTACGTATAACACTTCACATTATCATCTTCAATCACGTTTGTCTCTCGCGGCGGCATCAGGACTTGGCGGGTCTCTTCAAGCGCCGCATTCTCTCACCTAGGACAGCGCCGTCCTCGCGCGGCAAAGGTGATTCTGAAACACAAAGGCACACAGGCCGATCTTCAGACGGGCATCGAAGGCGAAGGGTTCGCTCGCCTTAGCGCGTCACGAGCGCGGCGACGAGGATTCATAAGCGTGGCCCTTCGTCATCGCTCCCCGACGTCGGCAGAGTCGCGACCTACGTCTTCCCACTTAATGGCGCTGCCGTTACGTACGAAGACACGCCAACACTTTGTTTCCTAGACTTCCTCTCGGGCTGCGCACCTGCGTACGTACTAGATCAAAGGCGCGTGCCGAGCATATCCAGGTCGTCTTTCATCGCACGCGCACGCACGCACGCGCGCACGTACACACGTAGAGCGCGCGCGAAGGAAAAAAATTCCTCCGCTCGCGCTCGCTACGAGCTTATTTATAACTCATTCCCGTTGGAAAAACAAAGGGCTCTTTCCGCTAGAACCTAATTCGCCGTGCGTCGGCTGGAGAAAAAAAAGCAAAGCCGTAAAAGCACGAGGGAATGCGCCTCTCGATGACTATAAAAACCCCTGGCAGCGGAATGGCCCGTTGAAAGCTTCCGACGGTGGCTGCCCGTTACACTCGCGGCGGCGCGCCGAAGAAACAATCCACTTGCGAGCGCGCGATGACGATCGATGCGCAGCAACAAACTATCCTGCCCGACTCGCCGCGAGGTCGCGTAATCGCTCGGGACGAACGAAGAATGGCCGCTCATTAACGGCGGCGGCGGCGACAGGCCGGTCAACGATCAAATATTAAACGAGCCGCGCGTTCGGCCGATTAATCGGTCGGGCGAATCGATAGCCGGCGTTTGTCGCCGATTACACTTGACTTTTGCCACTTGGCGCCGCGCGAAGCGAGACGAGTCAGGCGGAGAGGGCGGGAATTGATTATCGCGAGGCCGTAACAATGGGACAGGCCGCGTCAATTCGACGAACCGTGGCCGATCGATCGAGGCTACGCGCTGCCGGCGACAGAGGCATCTCTACGCCGTCGGGGAATTCAAGGTGCGCGCGCGAACGACAATCAAAGTAATAACCTCTCGTTCACTATTCATGCGAGCACCTAGCGTGTGCCAAGGCGAGCAACCTTGGCCGACTAGCATCGTTCGGCGCGCTCGCGATTCCGCCGCTGCCTTCGCTTTGGAACGACCGGCCGGCACGCGCTCATTCGCCAAGCGCAACGTTTTTCTCCAACGCAACTCCGCGCTCCCACCTGCCCCCGTTGCTCGGCGAGCTTGGGGCCTGCCGTTACTGGAATTTCCCCTCCGCGCCTCCCCTCCCCCCCCCCCGGATTTCGGTGAAGTGCGCGGATGGGATGCTGACGCACCCGGTTTCCAGACTCCTTTCTCCCCCCCCCCCCTCTCGCTATCACCCTCGTAGCGCGAGAAGATGAATGATCGCGGCGCGCCGAATTTTTATTTCCCCACCCGGTGGAGGTAGCAGGCCAGAACTTTTTCATTGGCCAGATGAAAACACTTCAAGAAATTAACATATCGCTGCGCGCGCGTCCGCCATACGAACGCGAGGATTTGCGGTCGTCTCTATTTTCGAGAAATGCCGCGTGGATGTTCCTTGGTGTTCGACGCTGTGGACCGTTCATTTTCTGGCCATCGTGCACAGAGACGAGCATCCGCCTGACTATCCTGTCGCGCCAGGGTCGTCTAGCTATCGCGCACCTATCGATAAATAATATCCTGAATGGAGAGGGGAAAAAAGCGATGGCGCCAATGTCCTCAAGTAGGATAAAAGCAACTATTTATATCCAGCACTGGCAGAGTATTGATGTATTATAAAGATCATTATCAGTCATCTTTGCGGATAACGAGGAATCGGAATATTCATGCAGCCTCGACTTATTTCTTGTTCTTCCTCCCGCAAAGCGGTAAGCTGTAAGATCCCATCGATCGTCGCGCGGCACCTGCCGTTGTTTCTTTTTTCTTCGAATTTTCGCCATATCTCCCAAGACGTATCTCCCGCGCACGCGCGCGAGAGAGAAAGAGAAAGGAAAAAATATCCGCGCAGCGCGGAAACAATCGGGCTGGCGCCGATGATAAAGAACAGCCCGGCACGGTAGTATTTCAGCTTCCCGCGCGCGAGGACAGGATAATGAAAGAATCCCGCGGTCGGCGCAGCGTCAGCGGATAGAGAAGTTTACAGCGAAATCAAAATCCGGCTGATGTCAGCTCGCGGGAGCCTTTTAAAAATTGTTTCAGGAGAGCGAGGTGCCAGCGAAAAAGAGAGAGAAAAACAGCGGGTAATCTCGCAATTTCGCCGTCGTCCCCTTTGATCGGCGCTAAGTCTAAGATAGTGGAGCTTGAAAATCGACGGCTAACAGTGTCCTACTTGACAGGCATGAGCGTGTTTACGTTCCCCATCCCTCGGAGCTTCTTAAACTTAACTTCCGCCGAGGAGAGAATCGCTTTTCTTTCTCCCTCCCCCTCTCGCTTCGTCTTGGAACGGTTAACGAAGCTGATTGTGAAAATTACACACGCGACACACGGGTGCACGCTCTTCTCCAAAATTGATTTTTAATCCGGCTATTCTTTATTTTTCATCGATGAGAAATCTACGCGGGAATCTAAATCTCTCAATCGACTGGAAGTGGCGTCGCAGTCGGGCGCGCGCGCTTCGGAGGGAGAGAGAGATGTCCTCGATTAAAAGTGAGATTGCCCGGCGAGCGGACGAGATTTCGAAAGGGAATTTTCGGAAAAGTTGTTTACGGAACTAGACTAGCTGTACGCTCCGATCGGCAAGGAGAGCTTCGACTGTTCGGCAATTTTTCATCCGCACGCGGTCTGCCCGTTCGCAAAGTGTATTCCTCAAAACTGCAACTCGAGAGTTGTCGGTCGAGCGGCACGGGAGAGAAATGTCCGAGTTATGAACTATGCGCGCGTACGCGGAAACGTGAACTGCATTTTCCCGCGCGCAACTTCGCAACAAATCTTCGCGACTGCGACAACAGCGCGCGTACGTACTGGTTCTCAAATATTCCGCTGGTCCGCCCCCCGCCCGCCCCATGAAGGGGCACTCGAGAATAATTACGTGCCTCGTCATCCACGAGTATCACTTCCAAACTGTTGCATTATGACGATGGCTCATTGAACTCCAGAGGCGACCAAGCTGGTTCATCGATACTCCAAGCTCAAGCGTGACCCGGAAAAAAAATAATAATAAAAGAAGCTCTATCTCCCTCTGTCTCTCTCTCTCTCTCTCTCTCTCTCTCTCTCTCTCTCTCTCTCTCTTCGAAAGACACGTCATCAGACACGATCGAAGTTCACCTGACAGACTTGAGTGAAACACAAAAACAGCTAATTGAATATAACCTCTAGAGATAAATATTATATTAATGACACGTCGAAAAAAAAATAAGAAACTAGAGATAGCGCTCGGCAAACAATTATACCATCGATCGGCGCACGCCCGTGGGGATAATTATGCTCACTTTGTTGTAATTTGCTTCTGGAAGAATTATCGTCGGTATATTTTTGGCGTGCTTATTGATTTTTGCCATATCATTGCGTTGACTTTCGTCGCCGGCGATGGTTATGCCCTCCCCCCCCGCAACGGCTCGGGGAGAAAATTTTCCGTTATCCGCTATCGCGCAGAGAAATCAATTCGCACGTGCGTCGGCCTGCGGTGACACACGGAAAAAGTGGCGCGCATTTGTCCCATGGAATGCCGCGTCGATCGACACCGTGCGGCGTTGCAAGGTACGGCTGAATTGTGGCGATTATGGTGACCGCGGGGATACCGACGTCCGCCGACATGGCGCCCCCCCCTGCGGGCGGTATAAAAAATCACCGAGATCTCTCTCCGCCGGATGCGAGCAGCTGCGCGCGTGTAAGACAACTCGGCGAATGCCAAAGATCAGGCTTTCGTTCGGCCGGAGTCTCCGCAATAAAAACGCATCACGAAATCGAGAGAAAAAGAGGGAGAGAGAGCCCGTCACCGCAATCATTCTAATGTGCGAGCATTAACAAAAGCACGTCTTCTTCACTTGAAGAAGAAGAAGAAAAAGAAAAAGTCAATATTTCGCGTATATACAGATCCCTACACGAAGCTGTTATTTTCGGGGCTGTTTATCTATCTCCCCGGCATTGCTCTCTAGAGACATAAGCCGACAATAAACATTTCCTTAACTCATCGCGCGAAAGCGCCAAGTGTGCACGTGTGTGTGTGTGTGTGTGTGTGTGTGTGTGTGTGTGTGTATGTGTATATCGACAAGGCAGTATCTCGCGCACGAGGGCTCTCCGAAATTTCCCGAAGTACTCCCTTGACCTCGATTCTCTCCCTCGCACGCGCTTCCTCTATAATCTCAGAACGAAAGGAAAGAAATAATAATGGAATACACGCTGTTGGTCGCGTTCTTTTTTCCTTTTCCCGCCGTAGGGTCAAAGATCCACGCAAGACGCGCTGGTCGCAACGGACGCTGACCTTTACTACTCGTAAGCCGCGTACACTTTTTACGAAGGCGTACCGCCGCTCCCTTATCTACTGATGATGTACCGCGAAGTATCGAGAGGCGTGAGCTCTTCTCACTTCTTTATGGTTTCAATTTTTACGAGGGGCAGGAGAGCCAGAGGTGGCGTTTACAGCTTCGATGCTTTGTGAATTTAGGAAACTGCGCCGGGGACCGACGCGCCGATCGAAATTGTTATGGGAGATCGCGCGCGACGTGATGCACTTGAAAAATCCAAAGAGCATCGGGTGCCACGAGCTTGCCAAGAATTTTATTGAATCTCGAGCGAGCGCGCGCGCGCGGCGCTCCACGCACGCGCCGACCTCTCGGCGACCGGGCTAATCGCGCCTGCACCGCTGCGGACGTGGCGTCGCCTCGTCCGAAAATACCATCGAGTCCGCGAAAAAGCCCCGCTCCACAAAAATAGTACGGCCCAAGTGGAGCGTCAGGATGAGCGAATTATTGACTAGCCCACGGCCGATTGGACGGCGCGTCCCGGTAGGCTCGCCGATGGTTTAATCAAGAGTGGCACGCGCTCGCCGAGAATAAGTCTGCGCTCT